GAGGTTTATTCAGATTTTTTGATAAGTTTCTAGAGCTCTCTAGCGAAAATATGAATATCTAAATCCATACGAAAATTTTTAGCGCAATTCCAGTTATCGTCGTCTATCATGGTCCGAATCGTAGCTAGAAGGCCACTCAATACGACCCAAGATGAATTTTTAATTGGTACGTAATATAATCATATTTGCCGCTATGTCAGAAAGTTCTTCAGGTAAATATACAAAAAATGTTCGTGCGTTTTTCTCGAAATTGGTTTTTGCATAAATTATCGATCTCTGAACAAATTTTTTTTTATATAGTTCGTTCTAGTGAAGTGCGGTATTTTTTATTCGGTAGATAGATGCATCCTCTTTCGGATGAGGAAAAGGTTTTTCGTCCGCGTTGGTGCCTTCTTTTAAAAAAGTTTTTTTTTGTATTACTATAAATTTCTCGACTATTATTCGTATCGACCAATTTTCGTAGACCCATAAACGAGGATACATTATCCTTGTCAAAAATAGCTGGAGAAATTGTAAGAAAGCTATTGAAAATCGATAAAAAGCGTCTTCGCAGAAAACGCAGGCGCGCTACACTAATCAATAGCAACGTTTGCAGCACAAGTAAAAGTTAATGTAACTTATTTTGACTATCAAAGTTAGTGTAGCTTATCTTGATCAAATGAGAAAGAAAAATAATCATTAGACGAAGCTGAGAAATTCAAACTAATGTTTTTCTGCTTTTTGACTTTTTGGATTGCATAAAAAAAGATGTCTTTCAAAGTAGGTGAATACTTAGTCTCAGATCGTCATTCTAAAGTATCCTTTTTTTAGAGTAAAAATGGTCGGAAAAATAACTCACTTTGAATGAAGCTCGCCGTATATTGACGCACTCGACTGTTTCGTATCAAGTAGTAGTGTTGAACATTGCTGCCCAATGATGCTTCATTTGAGATCGTCGCCGCTTTGATCTGTATTAAAGAGAAAGAAAATCAGAGTGATATACATTTCTATGTTCAGAAAAAAAATATGTATCATCGATGATCTTTCATCATCAACGTATGCACAAAAAAAATGAATAAACGATCTGGTGATGTTGTGTAGCAAAATTTACTTTCTCACATAATTACGAAGTGATTGTTTTAAATCCATGTTGATTGATGCATGTATATAATCGAAAAGAAACTAAATGATTTAAGCATGTTTTTGGCGGAAAACATTTCGTAGATGTCTTTATCTCATTCAACTCCGAGTTTAATCGTGATCATTACCCACCGATCGGTTTTACTTTGTCTCAGAGACAGTTTTCAATGGCTGTATTCACTTCTATGATCCGATGGAAAATTTTTTCCTCTCAAAGCCATCTTGACATACGAAGTCGATCGTATGGATCATGAGCATCACCTCACTTTTAGCAATTAGTCTTGTGATGCATTAGGAGAAAAGGTATTTCACAAGATGGACCATAGTTAAAAGAGAGGGCATGGATTTTTTCATGGAAAAAAAATTAGATATCTGATGTACTTAAGTTTAATGCATTGTACAGTGCCAACTTGTACACGCTATCTAAATAAATTGACTTCAGATTTTTCAAGAATTGTTTAATGATCGAAAAAGCCGATAAGGGCCGAAATTTCGAAAAGTCTCTTTTTTGAACCGTCGACTGGTCTGAAGAAAATCTTGTCACCATTTCAAACCTTGCCACTAATTCTAGTTTTCATGCGCTTTCTGATGATCGACACAAAGTTGAGAAAAAAAGGATGTGTCAAATCTATAGAGTTTCTGGAAAACGTATTCAACATTCCTTAGGCTTGTAAGCAAAGCAAATATTCATATTAATCCACATGGAAGCATCACGCAAACAATTCGAAAGAAAAACAATGTTTACAAGACAAGTGCTTCTCGATAGAAAAAAGGTAAACTCACATTAAATATGTGTCGCATTGATTTGCTTATCACATATATTCGTCCACCCATGGCGTGCTGCTCGAGTGCAAAACCAGCATCACCTTTTATCAATGAGTTTTTCTCGTGCGTACCAATTTCTGTTGGTGTAACAAAAATGTTTCTAAAATCAAGTACATAAATATTGAACAGACAGATAGGAAAACGACACTCACGTGGATGGATCCACATCGAATCCTAGTCGAGACATTATGAATGGCGTGAATATATGACCACATTCGTGAAGCATCTTAGCGAATGCGACAAGATTATGTGCTTCTGTTTGATCTTCATTGGTTGTAAGAGCCTTGTCAGACCACTAGAAGGAAAGATGAAAAGAAAGCCAAAATTAGCGTTCTATGAGATGTCCTCATTCGGTTTCGATCAAGTAAAATGTTTCATATTTGACTATAATTATACAGGCTCCTCCATCTGACATTATCGAAGTCTATGTATACGAAAAGTTAAAAAACAAGAGATGCCATAAAATTTTTTCTTCCACTTTAGACGAACTTTTATGGAGCTACTGTACATCAGAGGTAGGACGAGTTCAAGTACAGCAAGTAAAAGTATTTTAGTTGTACTTTTACTTGTCCTTGCACAAGTATACTTCCCCGAATCCTAATAAGTGAGTTTGATGATTTTTTCATTAGACTAAAAGTGAAACAATGTGTGATGGTGGCATGGCCCATCATTCTGAGAGAAATAAAAAAAAATAATACTAAAAAATAGTCTTCTTCTTATTTCAAACAGAACTTTTCATGATATTATCACTAGGAGAGGAAGGTTACAGTTACCAAGTAATGAGGTAACGGAAATTTTGTGAGTTTATCAAAACAAAACCTGTTCTTCTAAATCGACGATTTTTATATAAAGTTTGGCGAAAAGTGTTCGGTGTCGAGGAGTCAGAATCTGTAATCAGTTTCTCGAAATTTTCAGTTTCATTTTTACAAAAAATAATATTTTTTAGCATTATTTTCATTTTTACTTCTCTCAAAATAATGGGCCATCTCACCATCACACATTGTTTCACTTTTAGTCTAATGAAAAAATCATCAAACTCACTTATAAGGATTTCTCATTACTATTCTTGTGGAGAATTTCACGGACATCTTTCAAAAAAAAGCAGAATTATACGATTTATCTGTGCTGAGGCACTTGCAAAATATTAGGTGTTGCAATCGTTAAGATTCGCCCGACATAAGTACTAACTACTTTTCCCAAAGTACAAGTACCAGATTCTTTTTTCGAAGTACAAGTACAAATACAAGTAAAAAGTACTTTTCTCAAAGCACAAGTATAAGTACCAAGTACAAATGATGAGTACTTGTACTTTTACTTTTCCTTGAAAAAGTACAAGTAAAAATACTTGCGTCCGAGTTCTGTTATACATACGATACAAGTTTGGATTTAATCGGAGGAAAGCTTATGGTTAAAATATCTAAAACTAATAGATTTAGCGCATGGCTTTAGTAGTAAGTTACTTGGAACCAGACTTTGCTAGATTTCGATTATCTTACACGACAGAATCTCAAATTTTCTGTTGCTTTTGAATGCTCAAATTTTCTGCTATCTTCAAAAAATCTTAATGAAATCGTAGTATTTTTCAGACTATGACGAAATTGACATATTACACTCTGATCAACTCCTCTGATATAGGGAATATTTCTACTAACGATGGAAAAAATGCAAACACTTTCAAGAACCACTGTGCAGCTATTTAGTATTTTATACAAAGTATTTCTACATATTCAACAGTTTTATCTGTAGCTAGTCAAACAATCTAAGAATGAATTTTTTGAACGAGCAACGCCTAAGAAATCAGCAGTCTACGATAAAATACCTCAGCCTGTCGTTATTATGAGTAATGTCCCTAATAAGGATGGCAAGCCAATATGTTGTCTCTAATAACGACGGACAAGCGCAGAACAAGCAAAATAACGCGCTTTATCCGAAAAAATGTCTTATTTTACAGCTTCTGTACAATATAGAGACAATTTTTGCTAATGATTTTGTAGATATCGTCAACTTGTATATAAAATATGCGATTGATGGAAAGGGATTGCCTTTTTGGTAAACTAGAACGTGTAAACAAAAACATGATCCGTCGTTAATCAAGACGATAACCTATATAATAAACGGCAGACCGAAATATGTTCCTAATAAAGACTCGCTAACACAGAATAAGCAAAAGAATTTCTGCTTATTCTGCGCTTGTCCTTCATTATTAGAGGCAACATGTTAGCTTACGATCGTTATTAGGGATATTGTTCGTAATAACGACAGACTGAGGAATTTGTCGTAGGCTGTTCGTTTTTCAGGCGTTTCTCAACAGAAAAATTCATTCTTAGATTGTTTAGCTTGCTTGAGATAAAGGATTTTAAATACCTAGAAATACTTTGTATCAACTACAAAATAGCTTCACAGTGGTTATTGAAATTAATTGTATGTTTCCCTTTAGTTACTAGGGACACTTGCTATACATAACTACTTTGGGCTGCGATGCTGAAAATTATACAGTTGAGTTTTTATTTGTTGATGATTCTCTGATGAAAGTTTCAGGTCAATAGATTGTAACTCGACCAAGTTATGATAATTTCTTTGCAGACTATGGAACCTTGAAACGACAAGATACATGTAAGTCTGGCCTGTCATACAAAACTTTATTCACTTTTGCATGTTGTCAAAATAACCATTATTTTGAAACTTTCCCTAAGCAATTATTTCTAAATATTTCTTGAGAGTATGTTTACCATGCAGTTCGACGAGCTCTGTCGCACGAGGTATAAATATAAATAAAATAGAATCGACCCTTTTTTCAATTTTCAGCATCTTACGAGGAATCCTTTCGAATTGTCAAATAGCTTTTTTGATCGAGACTATGTCAATTTGACAAATCCTAGTGAGAAATGAAAATATCTAGAATGGTTTGGCTTTTCAGACTTCGTTCCTGAGATATTGAAAGTTTAATGTATTTTTTCTACGAAATACCGTAATCTCCTCAAGCCACCTTAATAATCGACTCTCGAGTTACGACTTAAAACTTTGCAAAATAAAGTTCTCAATAGGATTACAGTAGATCAGTCTCTAACCTTTTTATTAACAATTATTTTTCCGGTAAGTGTTTGTGCATTTGATGGATTATCGAGTGGTTCAGATTCCATAAACGAATTCCGATTAATAGTTTCAATATCAAGTTCTATTCGAGTTTGAGTGAGCATTTCTTCAACCAAATCAGATATATTAGTCGATGATCGATTATGATTACTGTCTTTGATCACCGGAAGACAGGCAATAAAATCTTCAATTAGCTTTTTGATTGATGGTATATAAAGTTGACGATTCGAGAAGAAGGCAATGAGACGAGTTGTAGCTTCAATGATCAATGGTGACTGCATCAGCGCAAATGTGCGTTGTCGTTTCTTGTTGTCAGTGAGATCAGGATATGATATGCAGAGACCAGATTGTGAAATAAATTGTGTTTTCAAGTACGGCACCGATTGACAAATATCAACAATTGTATTAGCAATTTCACCAGGCATTCGAAGAGAATCAGTAAGACGATCAAATAAATCAGCAGCACCAATCTGTCAATGATAAAAACATAATTAATCATTTTCATTAACCTGCCTATTTAGAAGTTAATTCGGATCCATCCTGTTTCCACTAGAGAAGAAAATTTCTCTGAACTAAGTGCTCTTGCATAAATTCTTGTACAAATATCGTTCCATGTCTCTGCTACAAGGACATGCTTTAGGAAAAATCAAAAATACGTATTCATAATCAATGTTCAAAGAGTTTTTCTAATTATATGTTCAAAAATTTCTATTTCTTCTCATCTTCGAATGGCAAGTGCATCTTTGAATAGAACAAAAATGTAGCTTGTAATGAAAAAATATGAATAGCTTTTTAATTTTAACAACAATAGCTATAAAATGATAGATCAAACTTTGAGGTGCATATAAGATTATGGAACAGACTTTTCTCCTCAAAGTATATCCTTGTGGACCTTTTTTTTTTCGTAGCAAAATGTGGTGAAATATTTTAAGTAAACGAGTGACTCATAAAGAATGAGATGCATTTGTTACTTTTTTGGAGTAGCTAAAGAATAAATAAAAGTTCATTTTAACCTCATTTGATAGAGCGTTCTTCGCACTACAAAAACTATCTGTGTTTTGCAAAAGAGTTTTTATTGTGGGCGCAAAGTTGAAAAGATTAATACTTCCTCAATCATTCTATTGCGACGTTCGAAAAACGAAAAACTTGAAATCTGTTTAATAACAGCTTCATCGAAATTTGAAGTATGCTAAACGACCCTCCACAAAGTTCTGTATCTTTTGATATGCGTTTTAGAATTTTAGAGGAAATATTTGGGTGAAACCTAGATGTCATTGATCTACAAACATGCAATTTTTTTCCCAAGCACTTCAGATAATTTTGCATGTTTTTTTTTCGTGTTAAAAAATTTTTCTCCTTTGAATTTTCACAGATTTTTTACAAAATTAGTCCCAGAAAAAAAAGCGTTCATCAGGGTGTTTCTCGTATTTCAATTTTTTTCTCATCAATTGACTTAAAGAAGAAATTAAAAAAAGTACCATCAAATTGTCTTAAGCACTTAAGAAAAGTTTCAGCTCAATCGGTCAACGTCTTCTGTCAGGTATTGAAGAAATAAGTTAGGGTTTTTCGACTAGTTTCGTCGCCTATATCTTTCTAAAAAAAATATCCTGAAATTTTGAGTCTATGACGACTGTTGCTCTATAAGAATAGACAACGTGGATGTGTAGGCGCTTCCAGGAGTAAACGAAGAATAGGTCAAACAAACTTTGAAAGGATTGAAAAAACGCTCAAACACAGCAACAGTTGTCCTTTTTCTTTAAAGTGAGCAGTGACAATTGAAAATGGAGAAAAGAATACGTACGTTGGCATTAACAGCTTGTGTATAAAGATTCAGCAAGGATCGTGCCGTAGCTTTTGCATCTTGAATTGGAATACGTAAACGATCTAAAAGCAGAGACCAAGTCGATGAAATACGTATAAAATTTGTCTTGCGGTAACACTAGCGACATACTTGCTTGATTATTGAACACGGTTCCATATAACAGTTGAGAGGTCATATTGCAAAGTTCTTTTGCAACTAAATGGAACACAATAATTAAATAATCGTTTCTAATCTTACGATTGAAGAGGAAAAGTTCCAGCTGATTATCTCTAGTCAATAGAGATGTGCATATTTTTCGTGATTACTGGTGTAACCAAGGTGTGGTTAGAAAAGCTGTCCACACCCTCCCCCCCTCTCCTACCGAATTTTTGAGTCCCTATCCACAATGATCGAAGTCACGCAAGCTAAACTTCGCCACAGGCTCCTCCGACAGACAGAGTCCGGCTACCTGAGCCTCCCCCACCAGAGAGTCTGCCCAGTTATAAGCCTTTCCCTTGTTAAAATTCTGGTTACACCACTAGTCCTGGTCATTTCTTCCCATGCCAATTCTTTAAATTAAGTTCTAAAATTTTCTGAAACACTCCACTTTGTTGAGAAATGTTTGCTCTTTCCAAATATGTATTCTCAAATGGCGAACGATTTTTCTGTGGAAATTTATCTCCAAAAAGTCACCGAGACAAGACTTGATTTCGATGAGTTTTAGTATAAGTTAATTGATTTAAGTACACCCCTCTTTCTTGACTCCGAAAATTTAGTTTTTCCGATTTTGAGTTTTTTGTCTCAAATCATACATTCTAGTGTGCTCTATCGAATGTCACATAAAAGAAAAGTTTTCATATTTATTTAGATTAGGGGTGAGAAGTTATTGTTATCTTGTTGTTATTAATAACAATAATAATAACAAAAAAGTTATTGTTATTAATAACAATAA